CAGAGAAGATGACAACTGTAACTCTATTTTGAGATCGTCGTTGGATGGTGATGTTAGCTCTCGGATTCCTTCGCGTTGAAAACTGAAAAATAGCATTAACACATACTTCTGAGGAGAATTATAGCCCTGTGGTGGTCTTGTTTGTTAGGAATTTGAGAATCTATAAAACTTCATAAGCACGCTCTCTCTGTAGATTTTCATGGGACACACGTGGCAGCCTGGTGGCCCGAGGTAGAGATGTGGAGCGATTTTTTCATACGGTTTGTTGGCCATCAGTGTTATCTTCTTGGAAAATTTCCTGCTCAATCTTCTGCCCCTTTTTAATGGGGTTTTGATTTTTTCTTCTTACTGATTTCCCTGAGTTTCTATAGGCTTCTAGGTATCAGCCCTTTACTGGCTGGATTATATAGCATGGGAATAATTTCTCCCATGGGTCTTGAATTTACTGAAGACATATTTCAGCTACCGGTTAGAGATTTCTGAAAAGCCGTTTTCACCAACAGGTTCTAGCCATTATCTGGGTACAGTTGAGGGGTTGTGTAGGCGGGACTTGTGTGGTACCAACACTTCTGGAACATCATCCTCACTCTCCAAACCCCGAATCCCATCCTGAATGTCTTGCGACTCTATTTCCTTTAGAACCACTGGCCCCGATCTCTCCTGTGGAGCACTAGAGCTCTCACGGGGCGGATGAGAAGGGCTGCTCGTGTTCTTTCCCGCTCCTTGACGACACACGTGGGTTGTGCAGATGCGCTGCGCAGCCACGCCCGTCACTAGGGCTGATTTTCATAGCCACGCCCATCACTAGGGCTGATTTTCGGGGTAGGGCTTCCATTGCACAAATGCTTAGAAATCCTGCTAGGGCCTATTTTATGGGTGGGTCTTATTTTCGGGAAACACGGTAATCATCAGGGAAATGCAAATTGAAACCACAATGAGATATCACTTATCTCCAGTGAGAATGGCCTTTATCAAAAAGTCCCCAAACAACTGGCGTGGATGCGGACAGATAGGAACACTCCCACACTGCTGGCGGGACTGAAAACTAGTTCCCAACCTCTGCGGGAAGTTGTGTGGGGAAACCTCGAAGAACTGAAAGTAGAACTGCCATTTGGTCCAGCAACCCCGTTACTGGGTATTTTACCCAAAGGAAAATAGACCCAAAGGAGTCTGATGGTGTCATATACTTCCCCTAGTAACTGAGTATTTCAAATGTTCTTCTCACAGACTGTTACAGAGAATAAGATATATATCAACAAGGACAATTTCTAGAAGGCTTAAATGCCCCATAAATCTGAAGAGAACCTCCGAATCAACTGCTAAACCCAGATGGCAGTGCCTTTGTAACTGCAGTTGGCTCTTGCCGCCTTCTAATCTTGACCTGGGGGAGAGACACTTACCTTCCCTAAGCCTCAATTTCCTCCTCGGTAAAAAGTCTGTAATAGCACCCTCCTGGAGTTGTTCTGATGGTTTTAGTGTCTCTCCGTTAATGGGGTGAGCATGTTGGAAATATATAAATACTAGCTATAATGATTTTTTTAAAGTGCAAGCAAGTTGGTTCAAGCATATTTCACTTGAATTGCAAGATAATTTGTCTTTAACGCGTTCATCTTGTACTCGTTTTCAAAAAAAAAAAATTTTTTTTTCTTGACTCTCTTCAGGTAGACGACAAAGTGAACTTTCATTTCATTCTCTTCAACAACGTGGACGGCCATCTGTATGAGCTTGGTATGTTTCACTCCATTTTTGGGACCCACTATAGCTTCTTGCATTCTCTTGGGCTTCATTTCTCGTATTGTTATGTGGCTTTATGGCACTTGGCATGTCAATTTTTTATTTTTTAAATTTTTAAAAAAAAATTTTTTTTACCTTCAAACAATGGGACTTGCGCGTGTTCCCCAAAAATTAAGACAGGGTCTTACATTTATTTTTCCTCGAGAAGACACCCTAGGGCTTATTTTCAGGGATGTGTTTTTTTTAGTACGGTACAACCATCTACATTTATTCAAATAGAGTGAAGCATCTTCTTCTGGACATCATCCTCAGTCTCACAACCGAATCCCATCCTGAATGTCTTGCGACTCTTATTTCCTTTAGCACCACTGGCCCCGATCTCTCTGGTGGAGCACTAGAGCTCTCACGGGCGGATAGAAGGCTGCTCGTGTTCTTTCCCGCTCCGCGACGACACGCACGGGTGTGCAGATGCGCTGCGCAGCCACGCCCATCATTGGGTCTTATTTTCGGGTAGGGCTCTTTGTGCAAATGCTTAGAAATCCTGTTAGGGCTTGTTTTATGGCAGGTCTTGTTTTCGGGAAACACGGTAGTGTTTTAATGTTCATACGCAACAGGAGGACCGAAGCAGCTTTATAGCAGCTGCTCACAGTGCAAATTCCTGCTGGGAGAGGTAGCAGCAGGTGGAAGCCTTGAACTGACACTCGTGGAGCAAAGTCAAGGGTGTTAGCGTCACTTCTGGATGCATGGGGGGGGATATAAGAGACACGAGTGTGAGCTCTCATGGTTGTGAGCTGTATACTTCACGGCAATGAAATAAACATGTTCAGATAACATTGAACCATCGGCCATTGTGTGTGATTTAGACCAACGGCCAGCAAACTTTCTTAAAAGTCCAGAAAGTAAATCTTTAAGGCTTTGAGGGCCAAATGGACTCTGCCCTGTAGCACAAAAGCAGCCGTAGATGTGGTTGGATGTTACCAAGCAGAGGTGGCTGTGTTCCCGTCAGACTTTATTTATAAACATAGACGGCAGTGGGCGCGGTGGCTTCTCACGCCTGATCCCAGCACTCTGGGAGGCGGGGGATCTTCAAGGTCAGGAGTTTAGACCAGCCTGAGCAAGAGCGAGACCCCCCCGTCTCTACTGAAAATAGAAATTAATTGGCAACTAAAATGTATAGAAAAATTAGCCGGGCATGGTGGTGCATGCCTGTAGTCCCAGCTACTGGGGAGGCTGAGGCAGGAGGATCGCTTGAGCCGGAGTTGGAGGTTGCTGTGAGCCAGGCTGATGCCACGACATCTAGCCACGGCAGCAGAGTGAGACTGTCTCAAAAATAAAATAGCTGGCGCTGTGGCTCACGCCTCGTAATCCAGCTTTTGAGGCCGAGCGGGCGGATTGCTCAAGTCAGGAGTGTCAAAACCGCCTGAGCAAGAGCGAGACCCGTCTTTACTATAAATAGAAAGAAAATTAATTGGCCAACTGATATATATATAAAAAATTACCGGGCATGGTGGCACATGCTTTAGTCCCAGCTACTCGGGTGAGCTGAGGCAGAAGGTCATCGAGCCCAGGAGTTTGAGTTGCTGGTGAGCTAGGCTGACGCCACGGCACTCCTCTAGCCTGGGACACAAAGTGAGACTCTGTCTCAAAAAAAAAAAATAAATAAAAATAAAATAAATAAAATATAAATAAAATCTTGGTTGGAACTGTTGTCAATAAGAATGAGACTGTACCTCATGTATGATGGATGTTAATTGCACATTGTTAGGCGCTATAGATCCAGCGATAGACAAGGCAGCCCCTGTCTTATGGACATAATAGTCTCACATGTGTTGCTACAAATGGGTTAGTGGTGTAGAAAGTGATAAGAGGCCAGGGGAGTGGCTCACGCCTGTCATCCCCCAGCACTCTGGGAGGCCGAGGCGGGAGATCGCTCAAACTCAGGAGTTCAAAACCAGCCTGAGGTGGAAGAGCGAGCCCCGTCTCTACTTTAAAAAAAAAGAATAAATTAGCTGGCACTAAAAATATATAGAAAATTAGCTGGGAGCTGAGGCAGAGGATTGTTCGAGCCTAGTTGAGGTTGCTGTGAGCTAGGCTAGGCAACGGAGTGAGACTGTCTCACAAAACAAAAAAAAATGATAAGAGATTGAGAGATGGGTTTGGGCGGGAGAAAGGGTGCTGGTGCACGAGAGCAGAGGCAAGGAAGAGCTGGCCATGCCGGAGAAGGAGAGAGGCTTTCTGAGGGCTCGAATGTAGTAGCTGAGCAGGAGTTGCTGGAAGAATAGGCTAGGGAGGAAGGACAGCTGGTCCTCATCTTGGAGCCATGGTGAGATTCAGGTTGTTTAGTGACTAGCTGTGCAAAGGCTTAACGCAATAATAGTGCGCTATTTGTATCATTTTAGTAATTATACATGCATATATATATTATTTTTTTTTAAAGAGGATGGATCAGTCCTGAACAGTTTCTTTCTGAAACAGAGAAGATGTCTCGGCAAGACAGAGCAAAATGCTTTGAAAGAACAGGTAGGAAGATACAACTTCCAGAGTGTGTCGCTTTAATAACTCTGGATCTTCGTGCTAATTATTTCTTTTTTTTTTTTTTTTTTTTTTTTTTTGCAGGCCATACAGGCAGCCCATGACGCTGTGGCACAGGAGGGCATGTCGGGTAAATGCAATGCACATCGGAGCCAGCTGCACCCTGGGCTGTGTTTCCACTGAGATGTGCGCAGGCGGCAATGTTGTCCACCACAGGGACTAACAGCAGAGAACTGTACCCAGATAATGGTTTGACTAGACCTGTTGTGAAACGGCTTTTCGAAATTCTAACCGGTGTGCAAATATCTCAGTAAATTCGAGCCATGGGAGAAATATTCCCATGCTATATATATCCAGTAAGGGCTGATACCTAGAAGCATATAAAACTCAGGGAAATCAGTAAGAAGAAAAAATCAAACACCCCATTAAAAAGCGGGCAGAAGATATGAGCAGAAATTTCAAAAAGATACACTGATGCCAACAAACGTATAAAAAAATGCTCAACATCTCTACGCTGTTCCCGAAAATAAGACAGGGTCTTATATTTATTTCCCTCAAAAAGACACCCAAGGCTTATTCTCAGAGGATGTGTTTTTTTTTTTTAAGATGGTACCATCTACATTGATTCAAATAGAGTGAAGTCGTCTCTTCTCGACATTCATGGTTCTTCTCCCCCAGTTGCTACTCTGTCCTCAAATTAAACTGTCCAGCTGGCCTGGACAAACCAGTGGTCACCTCTTGCTCTTGTCAAATCACGGCCCAACACCGGGGACCCGTTGGTTGTCTTTTTCCTTCCTGATGTAAAAGCGGGGAGAGAGGAAAAAACCGTTCATTTCTTTTGCCTGCTCCTTTTAACAGTCGAGGCTCCGTTTTGTTTTTCAGGAGAAGCATACCTGGACAGAATAGAAATCAGAACTCTAAAAAAACGGTGAAATATAAACTGTGACCGGTGGTGGTGCTGGGCACTAAGTTGACCAAAGCTTGATTAGGATGCTTTTGTGAGAAACAGTTGTCATTAGTGTTAAAAGGGAGGAAATAATGAACGGGTCTGGTTTTGTTTTTTTTTTCCCTAGCTTCGTGACACCCTGTTTTCCACGCTGAAAGGTTGCAGTGGTGTCTAGACAGAGCCTTGGGCGATATCCAAGGAATCCACTGCACTGCAGCACCGGGGTGGAGTCTCTGAGCCTGTCCGAGGCCCGCCGGCTGGCGTGGGTGTGGGGGGACAGGCAGACCCTTCTCTGGGCACTGGCCGGCCCCCAGAACCCAGGCTCCCAGTCTCACTCATCCCACTTGTGTTTCCGTCTAGGTGCTAGAACTCCCTGTACTATACTGTCTATTTAGCTCTCTGTGTTTTCACTTTGAGATGTACTGTGGATAGAAATGTCTTCTACCTTCCCAGCATGAGAACTTCAGGAAAAAGCAGATAGAAGAACTGAAGGGACAGCAAGTCAGTCCTAAAGTGTACTTCATGAAGCAGACCCTGGGGAACTCCTGCGGTACGATCGGACTCATCCACGCCGTGGCCAATAATCGGGACAAGCTGGACTTCGGTACGCGTGGGTTTTGAGGCGGGTCATCCCCGGCGTGAACTCGAGACTTGGGGTTCAGAAGGCAGAGTTCGCTGTCACTCCTCGGTTCAGGGACCCCCCCACCCCCCGGGCCTGTCTATCCAGCAAATTCTTTGCCTTAAAAATTTTTTTTGTAAACCTTGTTGAGTCATGGCTACTACGATATGATCCTTGGGTGCATGATCCCTCATACGGCTATGCCGGCATGATCCTTGAGTGCATTCCTACTCTCTCTTTTGAGGGGAGGAGACCCGTTTTCCAGGATGCATGGCTTGGCTGCTCCGGGTGGAGTGGAAGGCTCAGCGACGAGCGGGTTCTAAGGCCCCTTTGCAGATGCGATTCCTTTGCTCACAGCTTCAGGGGCTCTGAAATGAAGGAAGGACACTTGAGGGCTGGTCAGCGCGGCAATTCTCACTCGCGCCTACTCAGTAGCTCCCAACAATGCAGGAGAATTGGAGATGGTCTCAAGCCAGAACCTCAACAATGAGACATCTGCTGTGTTTCCCCAAAAATTAAGACAGGGTCCTATATTTATTTTTCCTCGAGAAGACACCCTAGGTTTATTTTCAGGGATGTGTTTTTTTTTAAGTACGGTACAACCATCTACATTTATTCAAATAGAGTGAAGCAGTCCTTCTTCTGGACATCATCCTCAGTCTCCAAACCGAATCCCATCCTGAATGTCTTGCGACTCTATTTCCTTTAGCACCACTGGCCCCGATCTCTCTGTGGAGCACTAGAGCTCTCACGGGGCGGATAGAAGGGCTGCTCGTGTTCTTTCCCGCTCCGCGACCACAGGCATGGGTTGTGCAGATGCGCTGCGCAGCCACGCCCATCATTGGGTCTTATTTTCGGGGTAGGGCTTCTATTGTGCAAATGCTTAGAAATCCTGCTAGGGCTTGTTTTATGGGCAGGTCTCATTTTCGGGGAAACACGGTAGTTGTCTTTAATGGTTCATACGCAACAGGAGGACCGAAGCAGCTTTATAGCAGCTGCTCACAGTGTGCAAATTCCTGCTGGGAGAGGTAGCAGCAGGTGGAAGCCTTGAACTGACATCTGTGAGCAAAGTCAAGGGTGTTAGCTCACTTCTGGTGGATGCCATGGGGGGGGATATAAGAGACACGAGTGTGAGCTCTCATGGTTGTGAGCTGTATACTTCACGGCAATGAAATAAACATGTTCAGATAACATTGAACCATCGGCCATTGTGTGTGATTTAGACCAACGGCCAGCAAACTTTCTTAAAAGTCCAGAAAGTAAATCTTTAAGGCTTTGAGGGCCAAATGGACTCTGCCCTGTAGCACAAAAGCAGCCGTAGATGTGGTTGGATGTTACCCAGCAGAGGTGGCTGTGTTCCCGTCAGACTTTATTATAAACATAGACGGCAGTGGGCGCCGGGTGGCTTCTCAGCCTGATCCCAGCACTCTGGGAGGCGGGAGGATCGCTCAAGGTCAGGAGTTTGAGACCAGCCTGAGCAAGAGCGAGACCCCCGTCTCTACTAAAAATAGAAATTAATTGCCAACTAAAATGTATAGAAAAATTAGCCGGCATGGTGGTGCATGCCTGTAGTCCCAGCTACTGGGGAGGCTGAGGCAGGAGGTCGCTTGAGCCGGAGTTGGAGGTTGCTGTGAGCCAGGCTGATGCCACGACATCTAGCCACGGCAGCAGAGTGAGACTGTCTCAAAAATAAAATAGCGGGCGCTGTGGCTACGCCTCGTAATCCTAGCTCTTGGAGGCCGAGGCGGGCGGATTGCTCAAGGTCAGGAGTGTCAAAACCGCCTGAGCAAGAGCGAGACCCGTTCTACTATAAATAGAAAGAAAATTAATTGGCAACTGATATATATATAAAAAATTAGCCGGGCATGGTGGCACATGCCTGTTAGTCCCAGCTACTGTGAGGCTGAGGCAGAAGGCACTCGAGCCCCAGAGTTTGAGTTGCTGGTGAGCTAGGCTGACGCCACGGCATCACTCTAGCCTGGACAACAAAGTGAGACTCTGCTCAAAAAAAAAAAATAAATAAAAATAAAATAAATAAAATATAAATAAAATCTTGGTTGGGAACTGTTGTCAATAAGAATGAGACTGTACCTCATGTATGATGGATGTTAATTGCACATTGTTAGGCGCTATAGATCCAGCGATAGACAAGGCAGCCCCTGTCTTTATGGACTAATAGTCTCACATGTGTTGCTACAAATGGGTTAGTGGCTGTAAGAAAGTGATAAAGGCCAGGGAGTGGCTCACGCCTGTCATCCCCAGCACTCTGGGAGGCCGAGGCGGGAGATCGCTCAAACTCAGGAGTTCAAAACCAGCCTGAGTGAGCAAGAGCGAGCCCGTCTCTACTTTAAAAAAAAAGAATAGAAATTAGCTGGCAACTAAAAATATATAGAAAATTAGCTGGGAGCTGAGGCAGAGGATTGTTCGGCCTAGTTTGAGGTTGCTGTGAGCTAGGCTAGGCAACGGAGTGAGACTCTGTCTCACAAAACAAAAAAAAATGATAAGAGATTGAGAGATGGGTTTGGGCGGGAGGGAAAGGGTGCTGTGCACGAGAGCAGAGGCAAGGAAGAGCTGCCATGCCGGAGAAGGGAGAGAGGCTTCTGAGGGCTCGAATGTAGTAGCTGAGCAGGAGTTGCTGGAAGAATAGGCTAGGGAGGAAGGACAGCTGGTCCTCATCTTGGAGGCCATGGTGAGATTCAGGTTGTTATGTGACTAGCTGTGCAAAGGCTTAGCACGCAATAGATGTGCGCATTTGTATCATTTTACGTAATTATACATGCATTATATATGTATTTTTTTTTAAAGAGGATGGATCAGTCCTGAAACAGTTTCTTTCTGAAACAGAGAAGATGTCTCCGGAAGACAGAGCAAAATGCTTTGAAAAGAACGAGGTAGGAAGATACAACTTCCAGAGTGTGTCGCTTTAATAACTCTGAGATCTTCGTGTAATTATTTTCTTTCTTTTTTTTTTTTTTTTTTTTTTTTGCAGGCCATACAGGCAGCCCATGACGCTGTGGCACAGGAGGGCCAATGTCGGGTAAATGCAAATGCAAATCGGAGCCAGGCTGCACCCTGGGCTGTGTTTCCACTGAGATGTGCGCAGGCGGCAATGTTGTCCACCACAGGGACTAACAGCAGAGAACTGTACCCAGATAATGGTTTGACTAGACCTGTTGTGAAACGGCTTTTCGAAATTCTAACCGGTGTGCAAATATCTCAGTAAATTCAGCCCATGGGAGAAATATTCCCATGCTATATATATCCAGTAAAGGGCTGATACCTAGAAGCTATGAAACTCAGGGAAATCAGTAAGAAAAAAAAATCAAACAACCCCATTAAAAAGCGGGCAGAAGATATGAGCAGGAAATTTTCAAAAGAAGATACACTGATGGCCAACAAACGTATGAAAAAATGCTCAACATCTCTACCGTGTTTCCCCGAAAATAAGACAGGGTCTTATATTTATTTTTCCTCAAAAAGACACCCAAGGGCTTATTCTCAGAGGATGTGTTTTTTTTTTTTTAAGATGGTACCATCTACATTGATTCAAATAGAGTGAAGTCGTCTTCTTCTCGACATCATCTCACTCTCAACCCGAATCCATCCTATGTCTTGCGACTCTGTTTCTTTAGAACCACTGCCCGATCTCTCCTGTGGAGCACTAGAGCTCTCACGGGGCGGATGAGAAGGGTTCTCGTGTTCTTTCCCGCTCCGAGACGACAGCATGGGTTGTGCAGATGCGCTGGCAGCCACGCCCGTCACTAGGCTGTTTCATAGCCACGCCACCACTAGGGCTGATTTTCATAGCCACGCCACCACTAGGCTGTTTTCATTAGCCACGCCTCCACAGGTGATTTTTTCATACCACCGCCACTCCACTGGATGATTTTCATAGCCACGCCCGTCACTAGGGCCGATTTTCATAGCCACGCCCATCACTAGGGCTTATTTTCGGAGTAGGGCTTCTATTGCACATGCTTAGAAATCCTGCTAGGGCCTATTTTATGGGTGGGTCTTATTTTCAGGGAAACACGGTAATCGTCAGGGAAATGCAAATTGAAACCACAGTGAGATATCACTTAACTCCAGTGAGAATGGCCTTTATCAAAAAGTCCCCAAACAACAAATGCTGGCGTGGATGGGGACAGATAGGAACACTCCCACACTGCTGGCGGGACTGAAAACTAGTTCCCAACCTCTGCGGAAAGTTGTGTGGGGAAACCTCGAACTGAAAGTAGAACCGCCATTTGGTCCAGCAATCCCGTTACTGGGTATTTTACCCAAAGGAAAATGGACCCAAAGGAGTCTGATGGTGTCATATACCTCCCCTAGTAACTGAGTATTTCAAATGTTCTTCTCACAGACTGTTACAGAGAATAAGATATATATCAACAAGGACAATTTCTGGAAGGCTTAAATGCCCCATAAATCTGAAGAGAACCTCCGAATCAACTGCTAAACCCAGATGGCAGTGCCTTTGTAACTGCAGTTGGCTCTTGCCACCTTCTAATCTTGACCTGGGGCGAGAGACACTTACCTTCCCTAAGCCTCAATTTCCTCCTCCGTAAAAAGTCTGTAATAGCACCCTCCTGGAGTTGTTCTGATGGTTTTAGTGTCTCTACGTTAATGGGGTGAGCATGTTGGAAATATATAAATACTAGCTATAATGATTTTTTTAAAGTGCAAGCAAGTTGGTTCAAGCATATTTCACTTGAATTGCAAGATAATCTGTCTTTAACGTGTTCATCTTGTACTCGTTTTAAAAAAAAAAAATTTTTTTTTCTTGGCTCCCTTCAGGTAGACGACAAAGTGAACTTTCATTTTATTCTCTTTAACAACGTGGACGGCCATCTGTATGAGCTTGGTATGTTTCACTCCATTTTTGGGACCCACTGTAGCTTCTTGCATTCTCTTGGGCTTCATTTCTCGTATTGTTATGTGACTTTATGGCACTTGGCATGTCAATTTTTTTTTTTTAATTTAAAAAAAATTTTTTTTTAAAAGAAAGATTTAGGGGATACAAGTGCAGTTTTGTCGCATGGATGGATATATTGCATAGCGGTGAAGTCTGGGCTTTTTGTGTAACCATCATCCAAACAGTGTGCATTGTACCCAGTAGGTAATTTCTCATCCCTTACCTGCTTCCCACCCTACCCATATCGTTGTTTGTGAAGCCACAGTAACGAAGGTATTCTCATAAGGGGGTGCTTAACCCCTTATCAAACCCAGAGCAACCTCCCAGGCAGCTGACCCTACTGAATGAATAGCTTTAGTCACAACCCAGTAAAGAGAACGAATCTGATAACCAGTGAAGGTGTGCCTGTTCAGACTTCTTCTTTTCAACCGCTCCTACAACTGATCCTCTAGTACCTCTGCCCTGTAAGCCCACAGGGAACCTGTTCTCAACGTGAGGCAACAATGTTGCAAGTCTTCACCATTAATATGAAAGGAGAGAAACTTATAAGCTGGATGTCTTTCTTGATGTCATAAACCAGTTAAACAGAGGGCCGGCGTGGGCTCACGCCTGTCATCCAGCACTCTGGGAGGCCGAGGCGGAGGACGCTCCAGGCCAGGAGTTCCAGACCAGCC